TAGCAGTTAAAAAACAAGCTCTTGTACAATATAATTAAGAAAGTCTGAAGGCGTCTTTTATACAGAGATTTGGAGTTAACTTTGCTAAGTAGAGAGTCATAGGGAGAATTATAATCCTGCAAGATAACTCTAAGAATTCGCTTGTTTAAAGTATCTATCTTCTCAGTACTACGCGCACCACAAAAGTGCCATACAGACGAACAATAGTTAAAATGTGGCATAATAAAAGCCTTATACAATCTTAGTNAATGTTTAATGCCTCATATGTTTAATGCCTCATATGTTTAATGCCTCATATGTTTAATGCCTCATATGTTTAATGCCTCATATGTTTAATGCCTCATATGTTTAATGCCTCATATGTTTAATGCCTCATATGTTTAATGCCTCATATGTTTAATGCCTCATATGTTTAATGCCTCATATGTTTAATGCCTCATATGTTTAATGCCTCATATGTTTAGTACCTCATATGTTTAATGCCTCATATGTTTAATGCCTCATATGTTTAATGCCTCATATGTTTAATGCCTCATATGTTTAATGCCTCATATGTTTAATGCCTCATATGTTTAATGCCTCATATGTTTAATGCCTCATATGTTTAATGCCTCATATGTTTAATGCCTCATATGTTTAATGCTCATATGTTTAAGACAACAAAGGTGAATTCTCAGAAGAGATAGTTAAGACTGTCAAAAGGAATTTCTATGTTGATGACTGCCTAAAATCGGGAAAGTAAGCAGAAAATGCTATCGAAGTTGTGTATTTGTTCCGAGAAATGTTCTCCAAAGGCGGATTTCGACTCACAAAGTGGTCGTGCAACAGTTTGGAAGTTCTGAGTACAGTCCCTCAATCTGAGAGAGATCAACCGGTACTAGACCTTGACCTAAACAAAGACAAGCTACCGATGCAACGCACGTTGGGGCTCCACTGGGACATGGAGAGCGACAAGTTCCTATTTAAGGTTGCTCTTAAAGACAGACCAAACACTCGTCGCGGTATACTTTCCCTGTCAAGTTCCGTTTATGATCCACTTGGTTTCGTTGCGCCAGTTATCCTCCCGGCCAAGAAATTGTTACAAAAGCTCTGTAAGCAGAAACTTGGATGGGATGATCCAATCAGCGCTAAAGATGGTGAAATTAAGGTGGGAGAAGTGGAAGGCTCAGTTGGTCGGTCTCTCTCGGATAACGGTAGACAGACGCGTTAAGCCAACCTGCTTTGGAGACTTGAAGATTGCTGAGTTACACAACTTTACCGACGCGTCACAAATTGCATATGGAGCAGTCTCCTATCTCAGATTGGAGGATGTCGAGGAAAGAATCCATTGTGCCTTTCTCATGGGGAAGTCTCGCCTTGCTCACTTGAGACCTATGACTGTGCCAAGGTTGGAACTGTCAGCTGCAGTCTTAGCCATTCAGTTAGATCAGACCGTAAGAGAAGAGCTGTATATTCGATTAGCCAATCGACATTTTGGTCGGACTCCACCTGCGTTTTGCAGTACATCAGAAACCAGTCAAAGCGTTTCCATACGTTTGTTGCAAATCGGCTGTCAGTTATACATGAAAATTCAGCACCTCATCAGTGGAGATATGTTAGCTCCGAAGACAACCCGGCAGACGAAGTATCTAGAGGTTTTACGATGGAAGAAATGAGTACAAGCAGTAAATGGCTGAGTGGTCCCGAGTTTCTGAAGAAAAAAGATGAGTTCTGGCCGTGTGATCCTACAATTCACCGATCAGGACCTTCAGATCATGATCCAGAAATCAAGCGTGAAACTCATTCTCACAGCCAGTCGTTGACTCGTCATCGAAGCAAAGTTCTCTCCAGGTTGATACAGTATTACTCATCTTGGGACAGATTACGAAGAGCTGTGACCTGGCTATTGAAGTTCAGAACGTGGCTCATCGAAAGACACAGTAGCAGATCCATTAACTCCACACCTGAAAGCAGTTTGAAAGAGGGATCCCAGTTCCTGTCCGTGGAAGAGTTACAGAGCGCAGAACGGGAAGTCATCAAGCATGTACAAAGGCTTTCATTTCCGGAAGTCATTCAAGCCATACAGACAATCGGTTCATCGAAGCCTTCACGTCGAGTTACCTCCGAGTTAAAGGATCTTAAGATACCAGCTCACATGCGCAAACTTCATCCGTTGTTGGACGACATTGGAATTCTAAGAGTTGGAGGAAGACTGCAAAATGCCTTAATCAACTATGACGCAAAACATCCAATTATTCTGCCGTATCGTCATCAGGTAACAGATTTGATCATTTCTCATCACCACCAAAAGGTTGGCCACCTCGCTCAAGAGTACGTACTGTCTAGCTTACGACAATACTATTGGATAATCAAGGGGCGTTCAGCTGTGCGTCGAGTGATTAGTGGCTGTTTCTAGTGTAAGAAACTTGGTGCAGTTCGTGGAGAGCAGTTGATGGCCGCCCTGCCAAGGGAAAGACTAATATCCGGAAAGCCACCGTTCACATACGTAGGCGTAGACTTCTTTGGCTCCTTTTATATACGTCAAGGTCGTTCGAACGTGAAACGTTTCGGGTGTCTGTTTACTTGCCTGGTCGTCAGAGCCGTTCATATAGAGGTCTTGAACTCTCTTGACACTGATTCATTCGTTAATGCGTTACGAAGACTCATGAATTTACGAGGATGTCCAGTTACCGTTTACAGTGACAACGGGACGAATTTCCAAGCAGGGGAAAGAGAGTTACGCGAGTCATTGAATGATTTAAATCAAGAATCAATCCACAGGTTTCTTCGTCAGAAGAATATAAGATGGAAATTCAATCCTCCTACAGCGA